TCGGCTTAATGCAACAGGCTTCAGAAGCAAGGGTCCACTTCACTGGGGGAGCAAGTGCACTGGTGTCCACAGCCTAACAGCCTTTTGCAGCAAAATACTACTTTGTTCAATCAAAAGCTTTTCAGTACTTGCATGCCTGCCTCTCCTTAGAACTGATATTACCCAGAAATGTACCTAAAGATTTTGTTTTTCTGATGCTTTTCTCTCCACCTCCTTTCTGGGGAGAGATTTTTATCTTTTTCCAGTCCTTCCACTGCAATAGTCAGATGACTCCCACTATAGAACTCATAAAATTAATACAAATGACATTTTTAAGGATTATTTCTCAGAATAGGATTCAGCTCTAGATTCAGATGCCTGTCATTAGGTATTTAGTTAACGTGTAGAAACTAAGTTGCTGTTACAGTGAAGCTCTGCAGAGACCCCTATGAAACACAGACATCCTAGTTCATGGCATGACAAACAGTATTCTAGACTGGTAACTGCTCTGACCAGACCTTTCACTCACTGTAATGGGAGACCGAGTTTCTAGTGAACAGGCAAAGACTATTTGAGAGGCATCTGAGCTTGGAACTGAATCCCACCAGCACTGTGAAAAACAGCATCTAGCTGCCTAAACACAAGCACACAGCACCATCTGAGATGCAGTCGTGTACCTAAGACACCCACATGATGCAACACAGGACTGATCCCAAGTTTCCCACAAGCAGCTGGAGTCCTGGTAGATTGTATGAAATGGTATGATGACTGAACCCTGTTTTTAGGAATTCCTTCCATTGACTAAACTTAGCTATGTGGGGCCATTTGAAACGCTATGAGGTATCTTGCCTGGCCTTCAGCTGCCACTCTAGTAAAGGTCTCCTCTAGATCTTCTGCCAAATCCACCAGTCCCATGTGGATGTCTCAAACACCCTACAATGTCTTAAGCGGCAGTAGAGGTCTATGTTTAGGTAACTTGCTGTCCTCACATCTGCCACAGTACATACGCTTGGGGAAAAAAAATCTACTTTGTACACAGCTGTGCATAAAATCCTCCTCTGCTGCAGAAAGCCTCAATAACTGGAATTCAGCAACAGATAATAGGATAATCATGTGCCTAGAGTCATGAAAAGACTCCAAGGAGTAATCTCAATTTTAGCTTTTCCAGGCTACTGGCTGATCTAGTCAATACTGGATCAAAGTCTTTCAGATCCAGCAACTCTTTCCATTATGCACTTGACTATTTGAGCCTCAAATGGATAAGGCTTTCCATGCAAAGAGAGGTCTCCTGCTAGAAGGTAAAGAGGGTGCTCAGGCAGTACAGAAGGACTTCTAACAGCCAGGAGAATTTCAGACTTCATTCTTTTTGTAAATTACATAACTTGGGTTGTATTATTGTAGGTGTACTTCTGGAGATAGTCTCAACAGATTTGACATTATCTCCTGCAGCACAGCCCACTCACTTCAAAGTTTGGCTTCTACAGCTGTTCTGCTGGCTAGATTTTCCTTTTTTTTCCCCATAGGACAATGTAACTTTTGAGAAACAAATGAAGCTGGGTGAGGATTTAGATTGCATTGCTAAGCACTTATGTCAAGTAACACCAGCCTCAAATCTGTTCCCTTTGATGCACGTATTTAATCTTTAACACAGCACTCACTGAAGAAACAAAATTCTCACTTTATTCCATTCTTTCACCATACAATATTTTATTAATCCAACCTGACAATTTTAGTAATTTATCCAATAATCACACAGTCTGTTCTCTTTCAGTCATTAGACTGGAGAACATGTTAGCACACTATGAAGCTACAAGTTGCAAATGTAGTTGGCCAAAGACTGGTCCTCAAACTTCCTTTTACTATAAAGTGCTGATTCAGTATTTAGGGCACTGGTCCACAGGGCTGATATACATAATTTCAGAGGCAATTAAGCCTAAGGAAACAGTCCCATGAAGCAACTCAGTACCCAGAAGAGAAGCTACTACTGAGTAGGTAGGAGCTATATGCCCACGTAGGGCGATGCCCTGTGTTCTGTGGTCAGGCAGCCTGGTTGGTTCCAGAAGAGGCAAGAATACGCTTCTTTATTTCTCTGAGTTTGGTCTTGCAAACAGCACTGTAAAGAAGCATTCACTAACAGCAAGGAAATATGTGATCAGAATGACAGGGCTTTGAAGAAAAAGAAAAGGAGGAGTGGTCTGTGCACTCTCTCCCACGCACTAAGGAGAAAGGTGATAATCTCTCACCTTAGTCTATAGTATACAATATATATGCAGGAAGAAGCAACCATAAACAAAGTTATCATCAAGGCTCAGTGCAGCAGAAACTGTCAGAGTGCACAGAAGCTGCAGTTTATCCCAGGGACACTACCACTTTGCATGACCTGCTTGTAGAACTATCACACCATCCAAATTCCTCAAAACCAACCAAGAATGCTTTAATTACTTTATTCCTATTCTTTAGCTTGTCATTGTTTTGTATTTTCTTTGTTCATATACTTCACAAGTGTTTTTAATTTTGAAAGCTTTTTTTTTAAATAAAGGTTTTTCAAGCTCTCTAGATTGTGGTGAGACACATTTTAAGGAATTTTATATAATAAGCAAATAATTTCCAAATTCTCCCAGAAAACAAGGGTTGAGTTTTGTGATCTCTGACACTACTTCCCATACTAAAACATCAAAAGCTGCTGTTCAGTTTCTAGTGGTTTTATTTTTTGGCTGAAAACACTTAGTTTGGGTTAAGTCTGTAAGACATCATTTCTGTTTTGCCACTTACAAACATTCTATAATTGAAAATACAGCAGAACAATTAAACTTCAGGAATGACTCTCTTCAATTCTAATTGAAGAAAAAATAACTCATAATAAAACCAACCAGCATCCAATGGTGACAAGGCAAGCTGGATGACCCGGTAGTCAGATACAATATCTTATTCTATTGTTTAATTGTTCTCATTGGAACAGCCATGTTTTTAACTTTTTTACATGGTTTAAGCCAACTGCATACTCAGGGATGTGAGGGAGTATGGGTTCTAGCATTGGCTACAGATATGAGTAGTATGCACATGTTTCATCCTCAGCTCTGCCAATATTTCTCAAACCTGACCTCCTGTTTCAAGGCTTGGCCTCTTCTGAGTAGCGTGCCAGTTCTACTGAATCGTGCCAAATGGTGTGCTGACAAACGCGCAACCTAAATCAGTCAGCAAACAGCACTTCCTTCTCTACTCAGTTTATAAAGCTCTTAGATAAAAGAAGCCATACAAAATGCAATGTTCACCATTTTCAGCTTTTCTGTAATGTATACTGTTCAAACTGAACGGTCCTTGCGTACCTTTATTGCAAAATTGCTCAAAACTCCAACTTAGGAGGTCTTAAAAAGGTAGCGCACAACTGCTAAATTCTGAGTGTCAAAAAGTTGTCTAACATGGCTGGACTCAGGGCTGACAGATTTTTTAAAAGCTCTGCCTTATCAGAGGCCATGAAGCTTCCTAGTACGAAACTTATATGGATTTTATATGAATAATAAAAATCCAGAGAGGACTCTCAAGCTTTCTCACCAGAGTGAGATGAAAAAAGGACACTGGGTACTGTTCTTTAGAGTAAAGAAAGAGTTTCCTTCTTATTTCTGTTTTTTTGTCATCTACAGTTCTAGGTATTGCTGCTATTTAAAAAAAAAACAACAAACAAAACCAAACATAATTCAATGTTAAAACCCTAAAGTGATAACAATTTAAAAATCTAGAGAAAAGTAAAATAAGATCAAGTCAACTGAAATATTTTCCTTAGACAATTCCATAGTGCTGCATTTTCATTTCAAACTCCTTAATTTTTAAACATTGCCGTAAATTCAATTTCTAATAAAAGAGTAATTTTGAACCAAAACATTTCTTCAGAGTTCATAACCTCATTCTTTTTGATAATCATGAGATGCATAAAAATTAATTAAGCGAACTTTTATAGGAAAGGCAACATTTTTCACTGATAAAACATGCTATTAGTCATTCCTGACCTATTTTGGTTTTGTTTTTTTTCTTATTTTACAGATTACACTGGTATCACTTTTGGAGCTCCGAAAGCCCTGATCCAATATAGTTCCTTTGAAGAAAAATAAGGAAACGTGAAAAAAACCTATCTCAGAAAAAGAAGTTCTTGGGATTGCAAATTACATATATTACCTTAAGTTTCTCTCAGACTGTTGCATTAGATACAAATGACATTTAATTCAGGATGAGCTAGAATAGTTTTTCTATCTGTACGAAAATTCTATAAAAACTAAAGACAAAGATGTTTCAATAATTTAGAACATATTGAAGAATGAAATATTTGGATGATCAGCTAAGAAAACTGCTCCATCCACTTAAATTTTCAAATTTTTTAATCTTTAAGAATTTGATAGTTTAAAAATAAAATTTTGAATTGTTCTCAACAATTACTCCAACTTACTACAGTAATGACGACATTGACAGAGGGATCCGAATATATGTTTCTACACTGTGAAATAAAGGATTTTTCCTAACCAAACACTGAGGATTAAGGAACTGAGAGAGTTGACGAGGCAGAAAGAATGGTTAAAAAAATTGGAAACCTGAGAATGGTTTCAAGCCTATTTTTAAAATACAGCCCCCGTAATTCTATACCAAATTTCTAAGAAAAGGGTGTTTCATTTTGAATGATACATATTCTAATCACATGACACACCAGCAAAGAAAAGTAAAACCTCTCTCTGAAGTTAATGCTTAGCCTCCTCACTGCCATGGCTGCAGACTATAACTCCAATATGCACCTTCAAAAAATTGAAATAGTTGGTTTACACGTCTTTATTCCTCTTGACGTGCTTAGGGCACCTGTCTCACCTGTCTTCTCTCAGAAGGAGATTATGTATGTTTCTGAATACAGATGCAGAGAGTCTCCTTAGTAAAAATCTTAGTTTTATCTCACTCTAAAATAATCTAGGAAGTTCATAAAGATTTAGAACACATTGATAAACAAAGCATAAAAACCATCAAATAATAGAAAAAGTACACACCTCTGATTGTACATGCCCCGGAAATTATAATTTGCTCTATAATTGGGAATTGGCTTTGGATCTAATGGCCTGTAGATGGCAGGCTCTCCTCTTTTCATAGCCAGACCATTCAGCTCCACTGTTGGAGTTATACTGCCTGCAAAAAGAATACATGTAAGGCACTTAAACCACAAATCCTGCAAACCATACAAGCAGGACTGAGATGAGCAGCAAAGAGAGAGCTGCACAATATTTTTTTGCTCTTAAATTAAAAAAGAAGCAAATAAAATGACATTTCAGTTTCTCTAAAAGATGGGAATACAGATGCCAACTTAATCACAAGCAATGAAAAAGAACATTTAAACATTTATCTCGGTGCATTCTCTGTGCAGTTTCAGTACATTAATCTTCACAACTGAATGAGAAAGCCAGTGCTATAATCAAGCTGGTTATTCATCTTTCCAAAGTGCTTATAATATCTTACGACACTTTCTGAAACTATAAAGATAAAAGAATAATGTCTCTTCCCACTGAATACTATCAAATAAAACCACAAATAGAGCAAAGAGACATTGAAACAAGCAGGCAGTAATAGGCATTACTGCAGTCATTCTGGTAATCTTACAAGTTAGAAACGCTTTATTTGCAAGACTTGAAAACTGAAGACCGTGACTAAATACTAACGATCTAACAGAAACCCTCTAACAAACTGAAACTACAGCTACTGGAAACCAGTGGCACTACAGCCACCTACTGGTGACAGAATACAAAAATAGAAAGCAGCCAGCAATTGCCCACTTGCACGGTCTCCAAAATGCCAAATAAAAAGCTACACTGTGATTTTATTTATTTTCTTATTTATTTTTAATAAAACGTTCAGCTACAGTAATCCCCACTTGTGCTGTTGTAAGAAAATCCTAAAAGAGCTAAATGTACATTCCAATAAAAAGGAGTTAATATTTTCTCAAAATATTTTCATAAGAGGTGCAAATGAATCTAGCCTTAAAACAGCTATGATGAATTTGCTGCTCAGCCACTGAGGCTTTATATGTCAAATTACGAAAATTTTTATGCAATATTTATGCAAAAATTTCTATCAACAACAATTTTTATATTTTCCAGAGCAAGGAATGACTACGAATTCAACTATATAATAAAAATGCAAAATATCATTTTGGTGAGAAGATATTTGTGCATATACATCTTTCTTAGTGAAAAATTACAGTGTTAAGTGATTCAATTATACAATTTTTTAATGAATTCTCTTAAAGCCTATTTCTTTTGTTATCAGCTTTCCCCTTTAAGATTAAGGTCAAAGCCAAAAAATCTAGAAGCTGAGTGATACTCTGCAAAGTCAAGAATCAAACCCAGGATCTCTTTTTATAGAGCCTCCTGCTTTCTAAACAAAGTCAGAGTGACTGCGAAGGACAGAGGGCAAAACCAGTGCCCAGGGTCTGGAGGAGCAATGTACTGATCTCCAAAGGAGCAAGAGAATACTATTGCACCACTCTCAAACAGTCCTTAGTGGCTAATGCTCAGGATAATGCTCACAAACTCTAAAAGAAACTGACTCCTGCTTTTTTCCCAACATAGGGAAGATTAACTGCAAAGTTACTCCATTTTAAGAAAGTGTCTGAAGAAGACTTTTTTCAAAAGGGGTGGGCAGAAGAGGGAATAAAAAAGGAAGCGGGGAAAAGAGGAACAATGGAGGAAAAAAAGTGTAAAAAAAAGAAAAAAGGGAAAGATTACCTTTTTTTTCACTGTTTGCTTTCTTTTATATTTAGTTTGAAATTAAGTTAGGAATACTTTATTTATTTATTTATTTTATTGAACAAGACAGAACAGATCACTGAGCACGTGACTGGGATGTGTACCTCAAAAGGTGTTGCATGAATACAAGGCAACTCACAGGTAGCACCTCAAAATGAAGGATGCAAGACACCAATATACGTTCTTTCTATTATTCAAACAACACTTTCTAAAGCCATCTGAAAGCTTTTTGAAAGCACAGGTTGCTATGAAGGAAAACTCAAGATGCAGGAAATTACCTGTCAAAATTCTCAAGCCAAATCCTGACCTTTTATTTACACCAGAGATGCAATTTCACAGGATTGGACTGGATAAAATTTCCAATTTCATTTGAAAATTAGCTAAAATAACATTTTGGGAAAAATGTTTTACTATGATGATAATAATAATTCAGTTCAATCTGATTTTGTCCTGTCTACTGTTGATCACATATAATCACTTTGTATACATCTGAGCCTTATCTAAATAATATATTCACTTACAGTTCAACTGTTTTACATATGCGCATTAAAAATTCTCCTGTGCAAACTCACTCGAGGTTATACTTCATTATACTATTGTACGTATCAGACAGCTACGCTGATTCTCATCCTCCAGCTTAACTTGTAACTTGTTAAATTTATTTATTAGTGGTATAATATTCCAACACTTCAACAAGATTTAACACACAGATGAAAAAGTCATACCTGGATTATTGTTAACATTATTTTTGGGTGGTCTAGGAGTTGGTTTAGGAAGGGTAGTTTCATTCAATGCTTTGCTAGCAGCAGCATGTTGAGCCTTTTTAATACTGCTTCCTTCAGCTTCCCATGTTTGTTCTCCGAGAGTCAGCTGCACTGTGAACATCTTCAAAGACAAAGAACAGGTAAACACTGGCAAGATTATCACTGTGGATTAGACCCATCTGTATAAAAACTTCCAGGGCTGAAGAGAAACCGTGCTGACTTTTCATTATGTTCAACTCCCAGGTAACACATCTGATTCTTACAGGGACAGTGAGTCCTTATCAGTGGGCAACACTGGGCCTTTCAAATGACAAAGTAATGTTAATGACAAAGAACAGAATAATATTTAAACAAAGTAATAGTAACTGCAAATTGATCCTCTGCTCTTGGAAGACTATATACAGGTCAGTTAAGACCACTTTTCTTCACACATCTGATCATGTTTAGTCACTTTACCTGTAGAAAACAGGTAAAGAATCCTACTAAAAATAAAAAGTAATTTTGTAATAATTCAGGACGGACATAAATGACTGCACACCCTTAAAGGCAGTGGAGAATTTGGCCCAAATAGTTTTACCCAGTGAAAGAACTTCTCACACAACTTGATTTCTGAAAATAATGTGTATTGTTAGGGCAGAGTCATAACTCATAAATATGTGCAAAAATACAAAGTAAGAAAGAAAAGTATTATATTTCTGTATGTAACTGCAACTCTTTAATGTGGACTCTATAGCAAAGACAGGAATTGTAAAAATTCAGACTTCACAAACAGACTACTGGTTAAAATCATATATATTTCAGAATCTGCAATAAAGGATTATTTCAAGCAGTATCTATGCTGTGCAAGTCATGAAGATAAAACTCAACACATATTTAAGATACTACATAGAGTCTATCTTCTGTATGATACATACATATTCAGTTTAAATATGAGCACCTAAGAATGAGAGGAGGAAGGGTAAGAACTCAGTATCTTTTCCATATCAACTCCACACATATAAGGCAAAATTTAATAGGTACACACAGTAAACGAAGATATACCTACCTCAGAAAACAGACTAACGTACTTAAGGCAACATAAAGAAATCCACATATTACTGTGAGCAGTATATATTTTTTTTCATTTTGATAGTTATTTGCTCTATAATTTTAAAAATTATTTAAACTTGCTAGATCCAGAACCAGGAACCTAGAGATGGGCATGACAGGCAACCTTTAAATTTGCATTCACATGTATTTTCATTTAGCATGTACTTGCAAACAAGCATTTGAACACAAGTATGTATGTGCCTCTCAATTCAGCCCTATACACGTGCACACAGTGCATATGAACTGAATGCTATAAATACATACTTATGTCTTAATTACAGGCTTGAGTTTTGGCCTACTGTAATTTCCAGAAGCACAGTGCAAGTCCCCGTATCACAGTTCCTATCACTATGTCATTCTTTCTACAGTAGTCAATCATTACAATCTCCTCACAGACAAGGGGTAAGAGAGAAACAGCCTCTTAATTTTGCACTGTAAAACCCTACCTCCATCTGAAAGCTGAATATTAGAGCTAAATTATCTGTAAACATATATCCTTATTACTAAAGAACTGAAATTTGATTTCTGGATCTGGAGTTTTTATATTTTGTTTTTCAATAAAGTATCAGTGTGGTATTTTTATGGGAGGAGAATAATCTTTAATTTCAATTAAAACTTTGAATAATGGCTGCTTATCTACCTATAACTTTCCTCTTAGTGCCTAGATCATAAAGGGCTTGCTCAGTAAATTTCCATAGCCAGAGCTCGAACCCTCTCTCTTAGCCCATCTGACAAAAATCTCCTGCAAAAAAACCACAAGAGTAGTAGGTGGGAATTTAATTAAAGGAATAAAATCGCTTAAACCCAAAATCTGGAGCAGCCAATGAAATACTCAAGTTCTGCAAGACCCAAGTTGACAGTTCTGCTACAGATTGAGAAGCATGTCACACCAACTTTCTGAGGAAGTTTGTATTCCTTGAGTTCAACCTAATTACCTGATATCTACAGAGAGGAAACGCAAAGGCCACCACACTTTGTGTTTGTTTCCACTCTGCTCTGTTCCTAAGGACAGTCTCCCATAGCTCTGGCAACTCTTCCCTCCTCATTTTTTCTGCATGTAGAACTTTCTCTCTTCCTTCCTGGCCTTTTGAAGTGCTATGTCCCTTACCCCCTTCCCTCTTCTCTCTACCACCACTGTGGCTTTCAAATTTGTCTCCTGAGATGCCACGGACATAGAAGCAGAGAATAACCTGACTAATGTACTCAAAAATGTCACTTATGCTAACAAAGACTTTCTGATTTTTCTTATAACGAAGAATCCACCTGGAGGGCAGAGTCCTAGAAACCCCAACTGCACTGTCAGGAAGCACCACTTCTTTCCCAGCTCCACTGCTTCTAGTTTCTCATTTCACCCCAATTCTCAAAACTTACTTTCCAGAGACAACTAGGAAAAGGGATGTAAAAATTTACTAGCAGTTGTGGTCATAACACAGCTGACTTGTAAAGCATGTTTCTGAAAATCATGAAGACTACTAGTGGACACGAACAGAGTATGGATAGGAGGAAAGCAACATGAGATGCTCCTTAAATGGCAAACAGCAGCATTACACCCTGCAAGTCATGCTTTCTAGAATACAGCTCTATTTCACACATTCTATTAGGTGTACCATCATGTTACTAGCAAGACATTATACTGAACTGCTAACACAGTCATAAAAATTTCTATATCTCTGCTTTTCATAGGTAAAAGGTGAATGAGTCTGCGTAATCTTATTAATATCACCTTTGTTGTTCATCTCCTTCCCTCCTTTGTTGTTCTCATTTGCTGTACAGGTCAAAATCAGACTTAATGTTATTCTGAGTCTACAGAGCACTTTTTTTTTTTTTTTTGACCAGTATGAGTGTAATTAAAAATAATAAGAGGTAAATTGAAAAACTGAAAAATTAAGAAATCCATTGAAAATCTGGCTTTCAAAAGTACAGCTAATGCAGGCTCAAGTCAAATCTCTTTCCTGCTGAGGAACATGAACAGCCAAAACCGCAATTTTTAGTACGACCGATGCACTTCTTATTTCACAATAATGGAAAAAAGGTAGTAAAATAGATGATATACAACACAACAGTGAAAAGCTAGAGAAAACTCAGCAGATGTAACACGCCGCAACCTAAAACTAACCAACCAGTGTATTCTGTGATGCTGAACACTTGCAGGAAGGGGAAGAGCACTTCAGCTTCCATTGGCAATGAGGGATCCCAAAAGCTTGCTGATTCTCAGCAGCCCTGCACCTTCTGACACCGTTCCCACCAGTATAAAGGATGCACAAACACCAGTCAAACCAGAAGGTCAGCGATTTGCATCAGCTCTGTCCTAGCTGATGACATAACGTGCAACTGAGAAAAAAGGGGTAACAGCAGAGAGACAGCCCACAACTAGCTGAAAATGTTACTCATCTGCAGCGTGAACCCACTGTCTTGTGTAGCTTTGCCACTCTAGAAATACTGAATACAAAGCAGCTACCAATTATGCCATTGTGTCTCTCAGAGTTTTTCAGGCTTTTTTCTCCTGTCCTATATTGCTCCAAACTAGGGAGAAAATTCAAAATTATATCTGAAAATTATTATAATGAGAATATCCCTCTGTGATCCCCATCATCCAAAAGCATCCTAATTTGTACTTACGAAATAAAGTTGGATATCCAAACTGATATGAAAACTGACCAGAATTAACTGTCAGTCCACTAGAAACTTTAATGTCATAATCATATTAGGAGTCTTAATATCACCATAAACCTTAAAGTTGCACAGAATTTAAAGGAAAGAACAGTAATAAATTTTGTGCCCTATAATGCAAGATCCAAAGATACGGTACCAATGCAAACAACTTTATGGACACAGAATCATATCAATAAGCACTTTAAAAACTGACACAAGCTTATTTTGTTGTCATCTGCGCTACCATGAAACAAATGCAGAGGCAGTTATTAGAGGCATGCTAACTCAGGAGAAAGATTCATGCAGCTTAAAAAGCAAACGCTCCATAATGATTAAGAAAGGGTGGTGATACTCTAGAAAGACCTTCACAAGGTCTTTATAGAGACCAACAAATATAAACTCAAAGGAGGAAGTCAAAGTAAGGTACAACATTATCTACAGGGCTTCAACAGAAATACAGATATACTTTCTGAAAGTGTAAAAAAAAAAAAAACAAAACAGAAAGCAAAATAAAGAACAGTAAGAAACCCCTTACACTAGAAATGTGGCTGTGTTTGATAAGTGCACTTGTCTAGACCATGACATTATCTGTTCAGCATTTAAGGTATGGCTCATCACCTGGAACTGTGACCTTACCTTGGCATGAGCAGGCCCTCTTTCATTCAGAAGCTTATACTGGGGTTGAATTCTATTGAAACGGGCTAACTCATTTACCAGACACATTGGAGTTTTCTCTTTGGGGTTTGCCATGTTATCTTGGAGAGGAGCTGTAAATAAAGAGTCTGTAAAATTTTTGTGGAGAAATGTATTCTTCACAACTTCGCAAAGCTTTGCAAAAGCAGCAGCATGCTTAGAAAAGAAAATACTTTGGCTAAAAAATGATTTTTGCACATATGCTAAATATAATGTTTAAGTACCAATTACCTATTAAACATGTGAGAACATGCATTTTACAATAACCATTTTGACTACAAGCGATTTAAAGAAACAACTATTTTGTTCAAAAATGTCTTTATAAAAGATGACAGTGTAGGAGGACATTACATATGATATATTTTCTACATCACCAAAGCTTACTGTCAGGAGTACACTGGTTCCAGGAATTGACTACTCTTTCAGAAATGTTTCTCAACACTTTGAAGCAGAAGTGGATAGCATAAGAGTTGCACGATAAATATAGCAGATGAAACCCTGTGGTCCCCCCTTGCTTTCCCTGCTTCTTCGCAATGTTTTAGACTTTTCTCACAATAATGAAGTCACTCTCAGAGCACTCCCAAAGAACACCTTTCCTCCCACTTTAAGGATTTTGTTCTGCTTTTCTTAAGACTACTTACTTCATGTATACTGCCTTACTATTTTTTAACTTTCTGCTATTTCTTTTTCAACTTATTTGTATTTATCCCTAACACACACTGGCATTTCTTGCTTAATTTTTTAGGATAACATTTCTGTATTTTATACCCAGTTCAGCATAGGAACTACAGTATTTATTAAGCTACAAAGGAAACACTGAATACTGCCAAGCAGTCTGAAGACATTCTGTTCTAGGGAAGAGAAATACACTTGGAGACCTTCCTGCACCACTAGAAGTTCTCTATAAAAGATACGCTCAGAATCTGACAAAATAGACAAGTTCTTTTCTGCTTTTATACCATTGATCAACACTTCACTGGAAGTCTGAGCTCAGTTACAGAAACTTAACTTAGTAAATATTCTATTTAGTCAAAATATTTTTCTACAGGATTTTTTTCCTTTATTTTAATCCTCTTTTTTTAAATTAACAAGTCATCAAAAAAATCTACCTGGACCAACTTACCTGGTGAGTTGCTAGAAGGCGCAGGATCCACAAGGCCGGCAGTAGGACTGCCACAGTTGGCAGCTGATTCCGAAATGGATCCGTTCATTGAGGATGGCAGACCCAGTGTATTTGTAGTTGTAACTGGTAAGGGTAGCACCATAGGGGACATGGTAGGTCCAGATAGGTTTGCTGTAGTCTGCATCTTAACTTGTGCCATTGCCTGTCACTGTAAGAAACAAATTATTATGAGCAGGGGATTCTGCATTTTGAATGTCAAATGACAGTAGTGATACTAACAACACTTATTTTTTCTCCTGGATCTAGGTCACAAAAGTATCCACAAAAGTCACACCTCTGCAAACACTGCTTCCAAAGTGATGCATGGAGAATCAGAGCTCACAGACAGAGAACATCACCAGAGCAGAACCCATACGCTCTGACTCCAGGTTCTGCTGCTCAACTGTGGGGTGACCCTGCCTGAGACACAGCAGGGAGAACCATTATTCTAGAATAAAATTCCATATAAGTATTCTGCAGATGTGATTACCACCTGCCAATTTTTTCAAGAGAGGATATCTTTGCAACAAACTGCCATAGAAATCTTTTGCCACAGTTTTTCTAGTAACATACACACAAAATACCAAATAAGGCCACAAAAGAAAACCCCCTATTTTTTATGCCTGTTACCAAACTAGAAAAGAGGAAAAATAAGAAGAGAAAACAACCAAACAACCAAAAAAACCCCACCAAAGAAGCAAGTTCTGAAAAATCACTGTTTATCCAGTCAACAGGTGGAGCACTTCAATACTTCTATAAACTACTAGCACAGGTACCAGGATTCCCCAAACTAGCATTAGCCCAGTGCCTAAAGCACTTACCTGGAATATGCCAAGTACTAATTATCTCTTTCCATCTGCCCAAATGAGTTTCTTTACTACCAATACCTGTTCTCTGCCTAAGTCTACAGTTGTAAACAAACCGGGGTCATGGCAAGGCTCCTTCATACTATTCACTGAGAGCATGCTCCTGGGCAAAATTGTGGCTACTGACAAAAAACTCTTGCAAAAACCACATGGGAGCAGTTCAGAGGCCAGTAGACAGCCCGGGCAATCCACTCAAATAAGAGAGAAGGCAGCCATCCTCAGTCCTCCAGGGAAAAGTCCTGGGCTTCTTCTTTTGGCATCAAGAGCAAATAGCTCATACACATGACTCAATCTGTACAGAGGAGAGCGAGTGACAAAACCTGTAACAGCCAACAAGCAGCCTGGGGACCTGGGACCTCTCCCAGCAGCAGCTCTGGTCCCTTTGGTGAAGGCAGAGGAGGACAGGAGCCCAGCTCTCCCCCATCACCCACACCACCCTTACCACTAAGCTCTCTGCTACTTCTTCTGGGGAAATTCTCTCTTCCTAAGTAAAAATCCCATCCAACACCTGAAAAACCTTCTAACTAAGGTCTTATTGAAGTTAGTATAACTATATAAAAAATTTTTATTACATCAGTATTTTTGCCTCCCCCCAAATCCCTTAAAAAAATATCCAAGTATCTCTACTCAGAGGGACAGTATTGCCGGATTAAGATCTCAAATCACCCAGTACACCACAGAGTGCAGCTATTTCAGCGCAGTTGCACTAGCATAATGAAAATAATAAATCCTACTACTGTGACTCTGTGCTTTGGAGAAGAGGTTCAGACTGGAATGCCATTTTTATTAGACAGACAACTGACTTAAATCTCTGGAAAGGCAGAAGTAAAAAAACCCCTGAGATGTTACTGAGATGCAGTAACTTCAACCTCTTGCCCTTTTCATAAATACCATAAGTAAAATGCTAATAGTGACAAATTTAAAAAATACATATGCAGTCAGCTGAGATTTATTAAAATACTTCAGGTGATCAAAAATATGAACTAAATTCAGACTGTA